CTAGAGGTTGATATACTGATAAACATAATCAACAAACAAAAGTTAGATAACTCTATGAGTGCTACTGCTACTGTTTAACCCAGTACTACTTGCTGCATGGTCAAGTTATCATCAACTAAAACAGTTTTCCCACTAGGCTTTTCTGGTGAGGAGGGTGGCTAAACACACAACGGGATTTATAAAACATGACCTATCAAACGGTAGATGGATCCTTTCATGGGATCAATGGCCATGTAGTTCAGGTGTGAGATGCAGTGTTGATGTGGCCAGGCATATCGTAAGCCCACTTGGATTGTTGGAATACTTAGTTTTCTTTAAGGTATCCATCCAGGAGATGGGAGACTCTGATGTAATGCCTGCAACTTGGCAGCATTCAATGATATTGACATGTTCTTTTTTACTTAAAGTGAGATTGACCAAGTATAACATCTTTCTCTAATTTAAAAATTTCATTCACAGGCATTGCTTGGTACCCTAAGATCTATGGTTGGTCATAGGTGAAAAAAAAAAACAGTTTCTCCAGCCTAAAAAGTCATATCTGTTCAGTCTTCAATGATATCTTGTGATAGTACTACATGACAAGGTGGTAGCCATCATGTATATTTGTATTATAATCTATACTTTTCAAAATGCATAAAGATATTTTGATAAGCTGCAACTGGAGCTTATTAATTGAAAATAAAAGCAAGTAAGAACAAATCCAAGGATCATTGACCCAATCATTATTATGTGATTGGCCTCACCAATAAGATATCAATCAGCAAGCGAATCTCCAATGCATGCACGTAGGATTTCATAACAGTTAAATAATTGACACTGCTGAAGAGTGTTTATGACTTTCATCTTCATGAAATATGGATTGCCCTAGTCTTGAATAGAATCACTTGCTCAGTTTGTTGGTTATACAAAAAATTGTGAGCAGTATACCATGCACTAAAATAACAACCAGACGTAAGACATTCATTAAAACTTGACACGTGAATAATCAATTATTTTCTCCAGCCATTGCTTAAACAAAAATAAATTCATAAAATATTCTTGTATTTAAAATTCTTTAAGATGAAGTTAAACAAAGAAAAGCTAAAATCAGTACCAAAAGCAAAAAACTTAGAGATAATCTCAAACTTTCCATTATTGGCTTATGGTCAGTGGCAAAGTGTCTATGTAGAACTTAGATTTTTTCCAAGATAATTTTTGAGCAATAAAGAATCATACAAGAGACACTACAGAAATGTGACATTGAAATTCAAAGGCACATAGGAATAATGATGCCTACTAAAAGTTAAACAAAGTATTAAGAAACAGGAAAATTTTATTAGAAACAAAGAGGGCTGAACTGTTCTATAATATTTGTCCTCCTGTATGGCAGTGAATGCAGGACACAAATGAAGAAGAGACTTGAGGAAACAAAAGTGTAGTTCTACAGAAGGATACTGAGATACCAGGTACTGAATATGTGAGCAATGAGGAAGTTTTTAAGGAAGTGATGATGATACTTAGAAAGTGGGAGGTGAAATTTCTAGGACACTTAGGAAAAAGGGCTTGGAGAATTTGATACTCACATGACCTATTAAAGGCAAGAAGAACAAAGGAAAGCAGCAAGTAACCTGCTTCATAAGCTTGTATAAATAACTGGACAGAACTAAGACTGGGTTGGGGATGGTGAAAAGACAAATTTTACTAATAGCTACAAAGGATGGCAAGTTGTGAAAAGCCATGATTACTCACACCATTTCTGAGGATAAACTGTGAACAAGCATTTCTTTAGTAGAGTAATGAAAGCAAAGAAGGATCCTGCTTCCCTATACGACTCCTGTGACAAATCAGTTCACAGGCACAGAAGATAAAGATGTGGTGTTGATATTTTTCTACAACAAAGTGATCAATGAATTTGCCAAAAAGAAATTAAGAATTAATTTAAAAATAATTATGTTATTATTTTCTAATTTTATTATCTTCTCAGATTTATTTCATTACCACCAGCAATTATCATGAACTGCATGTCCTAGTTTTAAAGTTGTTCTTCACCATCTTTCTATATTTCTGAGATGAGGTATTGTAATTATTTAGACTATTTACATTGTTTAAACAGTTGTGCTTTTTTTGTACAAATATAAACACTGTCTGAATTTCTGGGATGAGGAGTTATTATTAATATTATTTACTTTTGGACTGTCACAGCATCTATGTCATTGTTACCTCTGACCTTTTTCAAGTTAGTCAAGCTGAATAACCTCCAGGAACATAGTAATTGTCAGTTCAATCCCTGGCCCAAGTAGTGCAAATGTTTTAATAGTAACAGAAACTACACTTAGAATCAGAAAGAAGCAGTTTAAATTTTTAGGACTTGTTGAGAATAGGGGACTTTGAGAATTTGAAGCACATATTAGTTACAGAAGATGTATCTGAGGAATATAGTTGTAGGACATGGGGAATATTGCTCTTGACCAAAAACTGCTCCACGTGCCATGGTCACTGATGGAACTTCTGTTGAGAAGACCAGACACTACAAACTTTTCTTCTGAGTACTGCTATTAACAACGGAAATGAGCAAGAATGTTATAACTTAGTGCGTATGCATGACAGAGTTCAAGGCAAATCTGTACCAATTCATACTTTAGCTGTTACTATAGCAACATTCCTGATACTTTTTGATCAGAACTCATAGAGCGTGAGGTAGAACAGATGAAACAACTTCCAAAATATTCTCCTGTGTTATTTGCATTGTACATGGCTTGTTATATCTGAGAACAATTTGTTTTTCCCATTGATAACTACAAGGTACTTTTTAACCAAACTTGTATAGACACATTGCTGCTGCTGAACGTATACCTGTGCATTTAATATTTCATTCCACTTTAAGAACTCTAAATGAATATTACCATGATGATCTTATAACATGGACAACATTATGTTTCTTCCATGCAGCAGAGTCAATTATGGAAACTTTTTCCTTGTTAATCCACTGCTTTACATTGAACATTGTTTCATGTAACCCATTTTTCATAACTTGTTATGATATATTTAAGGAGCAGAACAATATGTTTGTCATTACATTTGGTTTCCCAAAACAAAAATTACTTTTGATTCAACATAATATGCTGGATGTTGTAAATTTTACAATCACAACTAATTTTACTGAGAAGACTTTTTTTCTTTTGTATTTGTTTGCAATTAGACCTTTAATAATAAGTCATGATAGTGAGTTAAGTGTGGAACTATTAGTCTAATACTCTCTGTTGAAATACTCTGCAACTGAATTAGTATCATAGCACATTGATTGATTGTTTTTTTTGTACAACTTATCAACCTTTTTTAAGGTTATTTAAAGCCAAAAACATATTTTTGGATGGCAAGAATTGTTTTAAGAATATAATGATTTTACTGATACAAATCTTAGTAATTAACCCATATCTTGGGAGAGAAGAGGTAGTTTCATAATTTTCCTAAGGATATTTGAATAAGTGAATATAACGAACCTAATTGGAATCAGAACTCAGCTCTCCAATTTCCAATTCCAAGCCATTATCCATTACATCCACACATTGAAGCTTACCATACCTGGTATTCACAAACAGTCACCAATCTAGGTACTAACTAAGCTCAACATTTCTTAACTTTGGTGATCAGATGATGACCAGTGTTTCAATAAGCCCTATCATGGAACAACTTAAATCAGTATTTTCCCAAAATAATAATAAAATGACCAGATGTGGTTGGTGGGTTACTATGTAAATGAGCACCTGACCAGCTCCTTCCACGTATTTTGGTAGGTATTCATTCATGTGTAGTATGTCTTGGGCAAAGTTGATTTGGCAGCCCAAAAAGTACCAACCTCCAAAGATCAACACAAACCTCAGATCAACTATTATTACATTTATCAAAGCAGAATCACAGAAACTATGGTTTGGCTGCTCAAACAACAAATTATATAATATCAAACACTAAAAACAAGGAAAAATGAATAATGTCCAAACTTGATATCAGACACTCCATGTCAATACATTCTTATATTCTAAAACAAGATCCACCTCTAATCTATACTGCATGACAAGAACTATACACAATAAAATGCATACTAACAAATCCATTTAATATTCTACAATTTATCAAAGAAATCATACTGTACTCCAAAATATGATGTCAACAAAACTACAATATAAAACACACATATCACTGTCTCTAGTAATTATGTCTACATAAACATGTATATACACAAAAGCTGAGTATCATCTACCATGTATTCTATTGTGAAAGCAGAATATCATTCTTTTACTACTTCAAAGCTCCCAAGAAAATTAAATTTTGGCTTTAAATGACCCATAAGGATGTTGATATGCCTTTAAACAAAACAAATCAATCAATCAATCAAAATCCATCCCTTTCCAGATCAGACTACAGCTGATGTCCTCTGATTTGATGGTCATGGATATATGGCCATTGATTCCATTGGGGGGAAACCTCTACCTTGGCCATTGACACCAATCCCAAGAAGCACTTCACCCAGTGATACTATGTCATCACCTCTGTACATATACTGCTAATAGTTCAGTGCCATGAGCATATTTGGCCTTCATTCAGTTAAAACTTGCTGTAGCTACCAGATCTTGTCTGAAGTCATCACTGGTGAGAACCTTGAAACTATTACACATGGAGTTGTTCACATAGTTCACTGTCAGAGAAGATGAACTGAGGGATTTCTTATATTTTTTTTCAAAACAAAAAGGCTTGAAAAAATGTTTCTAATTTTTGTTTTTTTACTTTCTTTTACTTGAACCTACAATGAGATGACTTGATGAAAAAAAAACAATGAAAAGATTTTTACATTGCTAATCTCTCTCATGGCTATAAAAAATTTTCTATATTGACCAAGAACTTAATAATTGAAACCTGATAACAACAATAATGAAATAACAATGAGAATGTTAGTGTGAACAAATCCCCGTGTTCTTATAATAGCTCCTCTCATAAACTTAATGCTTTGTGTATATCTTTTTCAGATTTTAACTCTTCCCACCATTATAAACCCCTTTCATCCCAGACTGGCCAGAGCTCACACAAGAAACCCAAACAACAATCATGCTTCTACCCTGGAGATACAAATAATATTTCCAGGCCTCTACACAAACCCAACATTGGCCATATCCCTGATTGTAGTCAGTGGATTGATTTGAAACCCGCTTTAGTGGACAACAGCGTTTCAGGCGCACGTTCACAATTCTGCCAACAACCAGTGAGCAGAGGTTCTGCTTCTGGACCTAAACAGGCTCCCCCAGTATCACAAGTACAATATTTAGATTATCTTGGATAGGTATGTGAATCTGTGGGTGGTGCTCCAAAAAAAAAAAAAAAAAAAACAACAAAAAAAAAATGAAAACAAAACAATGCATCTCGTACCAGTATCTGATCATAAGAGATACAGCATTTATGAAAAGTGTGGTATGTATCTATGATATTCAGAACATTTTTCATCTAATCTTTGAATAAATAAAGAATGAATATATATTTCATGAATGAAAATAAAAACTAGAGCCATTTTCATTGAATCAGTGACCATTCATAAAAAATCATCTCAATTGGCATCAATTTGAGGAGGGATACACTTTCTTAAAAGAAAATTTAAAAAATAAAAATAATTTCATTTTTTTTTTTTTATTTCTCATCATTTAAAATAAATTTAAAAAAATTTTTTTTTAAAGAAATGATTTAAAATTGTTAATCAGCTTTAAAAAAAAAATCTTTGTTGGATGGGCAGTTTAAACAGGGTTTTATGAAAATCCAGAATGGATAAACAAATAAAAAAACACAGAAGTATAAAGAAATACAAATTGGTTTTAATGCTATGAAATTATACATGCAAAACTTATAATGATAGCAACAACAAAAAACACTGAGGACAAAAAATGATATCGGTAATCATAATAACGATCATAAAAGTTGCATTTTGAATAAACTTTGATATAATATAATCGTTGTTGAACATTCCTTTTATTTTGATTTTCATTTGTTGTCTAAAATGCTTTTAAAATATCTTGACGAGAAGCCAAATTGTTTCTTACGCTTCTTTTTCCTCATTTCCTTTATTGTTGATATCATAAGAAGATTGCCAGGATCAATGCTTGCAAATACATTCCAAAAATGTTTAAAACGACATAAAATCTAATGTTGCCATTTACATTCTTTTATGCTTTTTTTAATTCTTGATAATTTGATATGATACAACACATTAGATATTTTTCCATCCGCAATATTCAATTGAAGAAAATAATCTTTCGCTGAAGGATTAAATTGGGAAAAGAAGCTAGGAGGACAGTACAGGTTGTGGGGATGGAGGGAATGTTGTATCAGGGATAAAAGAATTGAAAGTGGAGAAGGGAAATTAATCTTTTCTCAAAAGAAAGAATGAATACATATATATATATATATACATATATATATATATATATATAAAAACAAGTGTGTTTAAGCAAGGGTGTGTGTGTGTGTGTGTTTGTAGGCATGGGTGTGCATATGTATGAAAATATTAATAAAAAAGATTAAGGAAAAGATAGAGAAGAGAGGTAATCCATTTTTCAGCGACTCAGGTATTGATTTCTCTGCAAGCTTAATCCTTAATTCTAGATTTTACATATTTCGGAAGTTATACTTGAAATCATTGCTTTCTGAACTAAGAGACAATAAGTTAAGAGAAGTTTCAAACCTAGAGAATGAAACAGTATTGTAAAAGAAAACTGAATGGAAAGGAGAGGGGTAAAAAAAAAAAAAAAAAAAAGGAACAAAATTAGGGTGGGTAAAAAAAATAATAATGGAGAATAAGGCAAAATGAAATCTCCCCATCCAAAATGAGATGTAAAAAAAAAAACTTGGTCTTGAACGGAAATTTGATTTCATTTCTTTTCAGTTCATAAGTTATTTTTAACATGACATCTGGAAGTGACTGTTGATGAGAAGGATATGAGATGTTGTCAGGGAAACCCTTCCACAGAATGTTTATTGGGAAAAAAAAAAATATATCAATAAAGATAAACCAAATATTAATGCATTTTTCAATACTAGATAATTTGATGCCATACAACACATTAAATCTTTTTCCTTCATAGGATTTCTGAGCTGACATTGACTTTATAATGTTTTTTGAAAGTGGAGTAATAAAGGGATGGAAACAAGAAAAAAGTAAATGTAAGAGACAAAAAAAAATAAAGGAAAAGCAAGGAATATAGAAGCAACGACAACAAAAAAACAAAAGATAAGGAAAAAGAAAAAAACCGATAAAACAAAGTTTTTAATATGTCGTGGAAGATATTGATTCTTGTGAAGAAAATCATCACACAAGATTAGTCGTATTCTAGAATGAACAAATTTGTTCGTTTCAGAGTAGGCAAACATAGTATCGATTTCTTGTGGAGATTACCCATTGTCTTGAATGTTTTGAATTCCTGATTTTGTATTAAAAAAAGAAAAAGAAAATATACATTTTCAAGTAGACAAGCTAGATATTGATTTTATGCTTTCTTTTAATTTTTTGAAAAAATTTTTTATTTGTTTGACTGGATAACTTAGGGATTATTTATATTTCAAAACTTATCCTTAAAGTTGTGCAGCCATGAGTGAAAATGCAGATGTCAAACATGGAGACCAGTGCCAAAAAATTACCCACCAATCAGAAACTTAGCTGAAATCTGTTCCTTGATTTGAAAATAAGGAAAAAAAAGAAAAGAACAGATAACAAGGAATTAAAGAAAATTGTTGGGTGGTGGGGATACATAAAAAGGAAGGCAAAACAATACTTGATACCAGAATATCATCTTTGAAATACTAACAGAATTCTAATAAGTATAAAAGTAAATTGTGTGTGTCAGTGTGTATATATATATATATATATATATATATATATATATATATATATATATATATACATATGTGCATAAAGAATGAGATAGAAGCAATATGTGAAGACAAACTCTTCTGCATAAATACAAGTATATGTATAAACATACATTTTCACATGCACATATATATATATAAATGTGTGTGTGTCTGTGTGTGTAGCTAGAATGATAGATAAGTATAAATCAAAATATTACTAATAATCATAATAAGAATATAATAAACTAACATTCTCACTCACAAATAGATCTATTTATCTAATATATATATATATATATATATATATATATATATATATATATATATATATATATATGCTGGTCAATGGTACATTATAGGTAGACGTAGATAGATAAGTATAAACTTAGATATTAATAATAATCATAATAATATGATAAACTAAGATTCTCACACATATGCAATAGTTCTCTTTCTTTCTCTCTCTCTATGTGTCTATATATATATGTATATATATATCTGTGTGTGTTTGCTGGTCAATGGTACATTATGGGTAGATGTAAATAGATCAGTATAAATTTAGTTATTACTACTACTACTAATAATAATAATAAACTAAGATTCTCACACAGATACAATAAATCTCTCTCTCTATATATATATATATTGTGAGACAGATAAATATATGCATGTGTGAAAGTGAGGGGAGAGAGATCTATCAGTATATAGATAGATATGTCTAAACATTTGGATAGATATACAAAAATGATAAAAAGATATACATATTTACATATAAAGACATGCTCACATACATACACGCACTTTCAGAAGATATTCAAATACATATGACTAGACAGGTATATACACATTAATAGCTGCATATATATATATATATATATATATATATATATATATATATATATATATATATATATATATAATCTGAGTGTGTGTATATGAGCACATTCAGAAGTTAGTTACTTCATATGTAGTGTAGCTTAGTAAGTTTGTTTATATATTTCAAAGAAAGAAAAAGAAGAAGCCAAGTCAGAAAGTGGGAAAAAGAAAACGATGAAATGAGTGTATGATTGAAATATAAGTAAAGTGAATCTATTCATAAGTCAACAACAATAATAGAAAAATTAAAAAAAAAAACACAGAAAAGAAACTAAGAAAGAAATGGAAAAAAAACCTCTAAGGCTAATCTGTTCCAATGACTGTCTCCATTCAACGGGAAGAACATCAGCCAGTGATTGGCTCAAGCAGCCATTACACACAACACACTTGATAGGACAGCAGATTTCCTGTAGCAATCATACGCGATACACACACATGCACATACACAATGCTTACACATATGGAACACACACATACACGTATCTAATGATCTTGTCACTCAATAGCAGCAGTTACAGCAGGATTCTCCACCAGAGCACATCTCAACACGGACTCCAGAGGATTTAACGACAAAGGTTAGTTTGTATTGAGTTTTTCTTTTTCTTTTTTGTTGTTTGCTCTCTCGCACTATTAGTGTTCCATTATTGATATGAGTAAAGATATGGGTGTATGTAAAAGTCATATTAGTTTTCAAAGGCATGTGCATGCGGCTCTTAAGAAATAAACAAAATCTAACCTTAGAGGTTATCCGATTGTAAGTGACATTCTGTATATTTAACATGCCCTCTGACATGATCCTACCCTGACTCATGGTCATAATGAGATGACTGAAGTAGGGACAATCAAATCATTAATTTTGTAACTAATGATTTACAGCTTTTATGTTCACTCACCCGTGGTAGCAATTAATATAAAATATATATGATAGTTTTTACAAACTCTGTATTTTGGCATGCCTAAATAGTTACTTTTCCATAAGAATAATTTCTAACTATTCTTTTTTTTCTTTTTTATGTAATACTTTTGAATTACTAAAATTAATCTTATATTTTCTAAGATAAATTATACACTTTTTCTAAGTAGACTCAAATTCTGTGTTTCAAAAAAGTTTTATGCAGACACATGTAGCTATTGTGGAAAAAGTATTTATATTTGTCAAAAGCATTTGTGTTTATAATGTTTTATCTTTGAGTTTCTAGTTTAATAATACATCTGAAATTGATGATAAGAAACAGAATTAAGAAATTTTATGAACTAAAGTAAATATTTGAATAGCTGTGAATTCATTCTGTTGTTTTTTGTGTTATTTTTCAAATAAAAAGTTATGTTTTTAGTTTCAAAATCTGCTTGTGAAAAGTTCATAATACTAAAATAGTTTTTATTATAAACGCAATTCATTTTTAAAAGCTCA